TGTGAAGCTTGCTAAATTATTTTAAAGTGAATAAAAGATGCCATAGCATTTAAAGGGTTATTTCATCCAGTTGTTCCTGTAGGCAGCTGCTTAGCTCTCTTACCTTACCTCAGAAAGGCATTTGAAGAGTGGTAGCTGATCAGGGCTATTCTGTGTCAAATGAGGATTTCTTAGGCTGAAGATTGCGAGACAAGCTGGTATGCCATTCTGTTGTCTATAAAGGTGATTGGCATGGCATATGTTTGCCACTGTTTTTCAGGGCAGTAACAGTTACTGACAGTTTGTGGCCTGCTGTGTCATACGTAGGTTTTTCTAGGGTCCACAGTCACCGCTCTGGCAGTCATTCCAGGAAGACAGGGGGTCAGCAGAGCAGCAGGGGTTATTTTTATGAAGAGGTCTGAGATGGACTAAACCATCTATCGGGTACTGATAGGATTGATGAAGTCTTGCTTATGAGTATGCATGGTAGAGGAGGAGCTAAGATCACTCTGGGAGACCAGCATGAGGCTCCCTTTCTCTTGTATTATCAAAGCTTGATTGACCTCTAGTTCTGATAATAGTATCCCATAAATCTTAGGCATTCTGGCATCTCCTTTATGCTTTTTTCTTCAGTTATTTTCTGTTTTAGTTTATATCTTTGTAAATAAGTTGTAACGTACCCTTTTTAACTCCCAGATGCAGTATACCTCCTCACCCAAAAGACTGGCTTTGCCATTGGCTTTCACAACTAAGACAAGCAAGGATCCTACCCATTGTTCGTGAGCTCACCCGAGGCCTTCTGTATAACATGCCCAACTGGTATCAAGAATGTTTGTTTCTCCCCACGCTGATGTTGCCTACCTAGTATAAGAGAAATCACCTCTGCTATAACAAACCTGAACAAAGAAGCTACAAGTTGTTCCAGCTGCTTCTCTATCACCTTACTAGGTGGACTCCTTTGTCTTCAACAGTTTCACTAGCATTTACATGTGTTTGTATCCATTCAGTTTTGCCATCCCTGGGTTGGTAAAATATATCTACAATCAATCGCTGTCCTTCATTAGTTTCCTGGTGCTGGCTGTTCATCTACTCAATAGAATGCTGTAGTTTAAACGAGGGAGAGAAACTGGTCACAAAATGCCCACCAGAAAATAAATGATCAGGATAGTTAGACCTGTTGATTTGGTTGTTCTGTAGTGAGACAAAATAATCTTAGAAAAAAAGGAAATGCTTTAAAAGCAAGCAACAGACTACTGTGGTGGAAGATGATATGAATTAAGATAACCATTTTTGACTCTTCTCTGTTAAGACAACATGTACCAGCCAAAGAAGAGATGAGGATAGTAAGATATTTAAGAATGTGTTGTAACTGCATGGTGGGATGATATTGTAAAGACAAACTATTTTAGACACTGTTTAGAAAGTTTATAAATACTTAACTGAAACTTTTTAAAGTGCTTTTGTATATAAAGCCAGGATCTGTACAAGACCTGGTTTGGAGCAGAAAACAAGAACCAATTAATTGGTTTTTAAACCCCAAATTATCTAAAATAGTAATTCTATTTATAAAATTGTCACACATTCAGGATCTGTTATCACAAGACTTGGCGGGGGGTAGGGAGAGATGTTTATTTCCCCCCTTTCCTAGGATATAATAAGAATACTAGCAAGATGTTGTGTGTAAATATGTATATTGCCTTTGGATCCTTTGGGATGAAAGTTGTTTATATAAATGTAAGTCACTGTTTTCATTACTGGGTTTACTATGATAAAACCTCCTATCCAGATCTTCTGACACAGTTTGTACTGTGTTGTCACACATGAGAGAGCTGTTTATGAGATGTTGGGGACCAATGAGAATGTACCCCCAATTCCCCTATAGTGTTCTTTTCTAATTAAATTGTCCCTGGAAGAAACATCCAAAGCAGCAGCTTTCATTTTGGATTGAAGGCAAAATGTTATGAGTCTTTGTCATTTGATTAAAAAGTTACTTAACATTTGAATTGCTACAGATGTAAAGCTAGCTCCGAATTTCCAATGTAATCGCCTCCAAGTTAAAATCAGGAAAATCTTTGTGTAATGAAACCCATATGTCATAGTGAAAGGATGCAAAGCATTGGCAGAGTGGGCTGCTCTAGCAGGAGATTCTGCACCCAATCTTGTTAACCAGGGCTGCTTTTGGTAATCCCTCATCTCCTCACTTGTAGGAAATCAATCTGTACCACTGAATCTTTTCAACCAGCAACTACAAAATTTACTGCAGGAGGCAGTTTGGGGACAGTTGTAGCAGCAAGGAGCCCAAGGCAGCAAGGCTAAGTGCAGGATTGAGGGATTGAAGTTCTAAAGAGGAGATTATATTAAACCTTACTTCACCCTCCCAGCAAGGAGAAATCGCAGCTTCTCTTTTCAGCCCCATCCTCTCCTGTCCACTCCCTGGTTTGAGATCCACCTATTTCAAGGCAGCAAATTTAATTTCTGGGACAAGAGTCTGTTATTTACAGCACTTTGATCCAAATTCTCTTTGCAGCCCAAGGAAAGGGAGGATCTATTCAAACACTCAACTTTTATTGTAACTGAGGCCACTAACATCTTTAAAATGGTGTTTTTCTGTGGCCTCAGTGCCCCCTCTCCTCTTCCCCACCTAACTGAGAAGATTAATTTGTAACCAGGCTATTGCGATCGTATCCATTGTTGATTTTCTATTGTAGTGATAGATGCACAGCATAGGAAGGGTTGTAAATCGTGATTTGACATGGAGATTCATGTTTCTGTTTTATGCTGCACAGGCTCTGTGGTATCTGTTTGCTGGTACAATGAAACCTGCACTCAGGCCCCACCTCCATTAGACAAGTCCCTGGTTTAAGCAACCATTTAAAAATATCCCAAAGGTTTTTCCAGTACAATTTTGTCCAGCCTTTTAATTAAAAGATCCACCTCTACTAGGCAACTGGCTTTAGCTGGTCCCTTGGGTAGCTGCTTAAGAGAGGTTTTCCTGTCTTTCTTTTGGGCTGCAGTCACATTTAGAATGTGGGTGTGATGGTTTTTTCATTCTCAAGCTTATAACTCAACCTGAATAACTCCAAGATACCCAATTGGCAATGATATTACCACTATAAAGAATTCATTTAACACAAGCAGTGTGGGACACAAGGATGTAATATAAGAGACTGTGAAACACCCAGGTTCAGAAAAGACTCCAAAGCAGATTACAAAAAAAGAAAAGAGGAAGAAATTGCCAAGACATTTGAACTCAGCACCGCGTAATCAGGATCTGTCCTGTCTTTATCAGGATTATACTGAACTGTGATTCTGGGGCAGCTCAGTGAGGCAGTCATAGCCAGGAAAACAAGATTGTAAATAATTGTGGAAACTTGCCCTCACAGTTTGGCTGTGAATTGTTTGCAGTAGTGGGATTCATTTTGTAGCCATCTCTATGCATATACAAAGATGTAGTGCCCTTGTTTGAGTGTGATATCATACCTTTAAAAATAAAGCCTTACGTGTGTGTGTGTGTGTGTGTGTGTGTGTGTGTGTGTGTGTGTGTGTGTGTGTGTGTGTGTGTGTGTG